CAAGACGTAAAAGAGCTTGGTGTACAATATTCTACAATGTATATGAGCCACTATCAAACCATTTCCAATTACTTCTGTTTTCAAAATCTAATGCATTTGACCGAGTTTCTAGAAAACGGTTGAACAAAAAATTTGTTTTTCAATGTATCCGATGGCATAAGCATGTTTGCGAGACAAAATTAGCCGTAACCTGAAGTTTTCAGCTAGTTCTGATCCTTTTATTGCAAGTTTTTCAGCATAGTACTGTGGGTATTTAAGCATGTAGTACTTATAAAAGTGTTTTAATACTGTACCATTTCATATAATCAAATTGCCCATTTGCAGTTGATGGCCCAACTTCACCAAGTGCGAATGGTTTGTTAATGTTAGTCATTTCATAATAACCATTCATATTCGCCTGAAGTAAACAAGCAAACAGTTGGTTGCAAAAATATCGGCCGTGTCAAACTAAGTTTGATTACGAACGAATCAGAAAAAAAGGTGAAAAATAATGAAAGGGACGATGCAATACAGTCATCTTTGCTGTTTTTGAAAACAACTCGTTTGTATCAATGTAAATCAAACAGCAATAATTTCTCAAAATGGTTTAGACGACAATTGAAATGCAACAAATTATACTTTTTTTCTTCTCACCGGTTCATCTGTATAAACATCGAGTGCAACGATATCTACGTAGTTATCGCCAGGATAATACATAGATGGATTATTTCGACTTTGATCTGGTGAGTAAACCCATAGTAAATTATGTAAACCTTTTGTATTTGTCAAATAATTGAACATATCAATCCAAACACTTTTGAATGTATTAGGATCCTATAAGAACAAGCATTTTTAAGTAGGTAGTTTAAATTTTGAGACAGCAGCAAAATATGCAAAAACAAACGTACTTGAGCACACCAGTAAAACCAATCACCATTCATTTCGTGGAATGGACGATACAAAACTGTTACACCTGCTTGATTTAAGTCATTTAAACCTTGTGCAATTCTATCAAGAAATGATCGCCAACGTTTTCCAGTTTCTGTATATGGTTGTGTTAAATCGTTAAAATTTAAATTTCCTCGATCCTTATATCCGCCTCCGTTCGAATTTACCGGATTTGGCAAATGCATGTTTACTGTTACAAATCCGCCTTGGTTCCAATGATTTTTCAATGATGGATTGCACGAAAAATCAATGATATATTCTGGATTGTTATTGTTGTTCCATCCACAGGCATAATCGCATCCCAAAATGGCCGGATAATGACCGGTTTGCCTAGCAAGTTCATCCACTTGGTCGGTCTTGAATGTATCAGGACTATAACCAGCAAACTGACCGGACAATACTTTACCTTTTAAAATAAAACAAAAACTCAGCTTTTCATGCACTTTTTTTTCGTGTGCATATGTAAACCTCTAACTATAAATACACATACTTTGTATCCATAATTATATTTTCAGTTGTTTCAAAAAACATTTACGCTTATTCAGACTGGCGATGTTCATCATTATCCTTTAAGCTAAGAGGAGATGTTTCGAGCATTCAAGCAAACCTTGAGTATCTCCCCTTATCATGTCTCATACTGGAGTTTATAATTGTTTGCGTAGATTACAAAAGTATGGAATACACTTAAAGATGAGTTACTGGCTTATGGTTGACCAATGCACTTCGAAATCTTCAAAAACGTACCTTCACTAGGTAATTTAGCAATATAATTCAAAATGTCTCTTGTTTTTCCATTAGCACCATTATCTGCTGTCCGTGCAGTACATAAAGTAGAAAACACAAGTACATAGAATAGCTGAAACCACATATTGCTGTCAGAATGCAATTATTTTCTAGCTCAAGTGAAATATCTTTGTGTTTTATATATATATAAAAATTATTCATTTCAGTTTTGACAAATATTGAATTACACTCAGCGAAAATAGAAGAATAGAACATTAAGTATAATCTTTAAAGCCTGTAAATCAAGAGCTGTACTCTCAGTGATATTTATTATATAATTTTGTCTCGTAAGTCAAACGCCCCGTTTACCGGAGTATATCAAGTTTTGATAAGTAATAATTTTAATGATCTGCAGAAGATACGCACATTTAAGCCTGTTGTGCACAGTGGCGGGCCGACGCGATGGCAAGGCGTGGCAATTGCCACACCAAAAATTGGTGCGACCACATGGGTGTACTCTTAGCTTCAAAAGCGGTTTTCTTTTGTTTACTACTGATACTTTTCGAAATTTATTGCCACACCAAAAAAACAGACTCTGACCCGGC